ATATATATATATGTATGTTGTGCAGAATATATCTATTTTGGTTTGAACAATGTTGCCATGCGCATTTTGACACCGGCGCCAGATGAGACGGCGTGCCGTGCATTGCGGGCCACTGAGCGGCCTTTGGGTCACTTTGACCCGCAGCCCCGAGGCCACAAGGTCGCATCTTTTACTGCGGCCTCAGGGGCGCGGTGACACGCTTCGCAGCTCAAAAGAGTGCACCTCCAAAGAAGGGTTTTCCACTTGCACTTGTGTTTGTTCCTCATTTCATTTGCTGAGTGTGCAGAAGGAGTGAGCGAGCGATGCCCGGCTCGCATTCCGGACTTCATTTGACAGACGTGTCCACCACCTCTTATAGCTCCGTTTACAATGCGTTGATGGCGCGCTCGCGAGCGGACTCCTTTCATGTGTTATCTTCCAAGGACTTGACGGTACACTGTGACAGATCAACACGCGGAGGAACGAGCTGTTATAAAAAGAGCTTTCCCAGTACTGGAGTCGGGACGGGGGTCGCGCTGACACGCGTCCACCTGCTGAGGCTAATCAATACGCACCCATGGTTGAACATTGGAGCCGCACCTGTTGAGGTGGCAGGGAATTGATGGTGTGTTCGTTCTTGTTGCTCGGTATGAAGAAGTTATGACGCACGCAGCCATCAAGACCAGACCGCCGACTTACTCTCGAGGTTCTTCATTTCCTGTCCGATTGATTAGTTGATTAGTTGATGGTGTTTGTTTGGTGTTGATATGCGATACAGACAAAACACTTGGCATCCATCAAGAGTAGGATGAGTGGCCTTATTTCACTCCCCAGTTTTCATAATTTGGCTTCTTGTGCTTCCATCTTCGTGAAGGATATTTTTTCTGTGTGTGCGTGTGCGTGTCCCAGAGCACAGAGCTTGGATGAGTTTGGAAGAAATGTGCACTTTTTTTTTTTTTTTTTTAAGGCTCGGTGTCCCAGTTGCTTTGTTTGCTAAATGTCCTCTTCGTCTTTATCTTGCGTTTTTGCGTCCAACGATAGTTTCATCTGAATCTGTTTACAAATTAGCAAAGTGTGGGGAGGGTCTCGGAGTCCCCGCCGCAGTGGACGCACGGAAGCGACAGCCTCTGAAATATCCGCACTTGCTTGTTTCCCCGCAACCTTGTTTGGAGGCGGGCCCATTTCATTGTATTTGCGCGCACGGTAGGCCGTGATGCATAAACATCAGGTTTCTTCTCGGTTCTTTGCATCGGAAGGGCTCGCACTTCCTGGCCAAGAAAGGTCAAGGGTGGCGCATACGAATGTCCAGGTGCGTCTCTCTATTCATTAGCTGGAAGAAGGAGAGCCGCATCTCGGACAAATGAGATGTATGAGCGTGTTTCATCCTTTCCGCTGAGCCTCTCGACAGCGTTTTGTCGCCGTCTTGGCTGAGGACGTCGATTGTCCCCCCGAGGCGAAGAAGGAATAAATTGGTGATGAAATTGATCGCTCTCCTTTGGAGGCGGCCTCTCTTGTCCAACTCGAAAAGGCCGCTCGTATGGCTGCAATTGTGATGAATCGATGAGAGACAAATCACACCAGTCAACACATTGGTGCTCATTTTTTGAGGAATTGTATGCACGGATTCTCAATCTGCCCAACTGAAATTGCTGTTTTAGGCCCAAAAATACCGTCTCTATTTTTTCCTAGTTATGAACGGCAGGTTAGGTTCGGCAGCGGCTGGAATCTCTTCCCAAAAACTATCAAGTACTATTAAAAAAAAAAGTAATGTGCAAGTTTTTCGAATTTTCAGGAACTCCAATCAGACAATCGTGACAATAAGCAAGTTTGGTTTCCCCGGGGAGCGGCGGCGCTGCCATCGCCATGGCGACTTGTGCGAGTGTGCCCGCCTGCATTGTGGATGTGTGCGCCCGTGGGCTGACAATGACCAGAAAGGCGGTGCGTGTCATTTGTTTTGGCCAGCGCGCTTTCTTTTTTTTTTTTTTTTTTGAACGTGCATCTCATTACCGCAAAGCGCTCATCCAGAAAGCGCCGATGGTGAATCTGAATAAGAACAATGGACATGCACTCGAGGACAATAGTGGCGTCCTCTGTTTGAAAGCGAGGACGGACGTTCGTGCGGCGCTCTACCCGTCTCTGCGTGCTTCACAAACGGAGAAGCAGCTTTGAAATGTAAACACAGGAACGCGCAGCGCTGATGGATGACAATATCGTCTTTGAGATGAACAACTGTGCAGGATATCGAGGATGAATTACAGTTTTGACACAGTATGTTTTGCTGCTCTTTATGATCGCCGCCTCGCACTTTTGGAACTACGGATCTCAAGTTGGAAGTCTGGCTTAAACTAAAAAAAAAAAAAAAAAAAAATACTACTTTAGTTTGAAATTCCCTATTGACCAAGCCTTTAAACTGAAGTCGCATCACAAAATTCCACTTCAAATAATTGGATTTGCTTATGATTTCAACCCCCCCCCAATATTTTTTAGCCTAAACGTATATTCTGTTTTCCATAAAATGCAAAAACTATTGAGTGTATTTATATCTCAACTTACCTTCCTCGTCACAATTTGATATCTATATTTTTTTTTTCCCCCCGACCCCGCAGAGCGCCAGCTGGCCACCAGCATGACCAGCAGCGGCGCTCTTCCCGCCAGCGTGAGCGGCATCAGCAAGGAGCTGGCCGAGCTGCGGCACCTCGTGCAGTTCCCCGAGGAGATCGCCTGCATCCTCACTGAGCAGGAGCAGCGGCTCTACCAGCGGGTGGGACCTTTTGGCGGGCCGAGTTTCCGACGCCCCGAATGATGATGTGACATTGACGCGGGCTTTCCCGCTCCTCTCAGGTGTTTGCCTTGGACTACTTGCGCTTTCTGACTCGAGAGCTGGGCACTCCGGAAAGTCAGAGCAGACGGCACCCCAAGCTCCAAGCCTCGCTGTCGGCGCCCAACGTGCCCACCCGGACGGCGCGGCGCGCTAACGCCGTGGAGGACCTGGTGGCGCGCTTCAATGAGGTCAGAAATTGCGGCCGACAAAGACCCAACAACATAACCAAACTTGAAAGCGCATTTTTTTGTCAATGAAACGGTCAAATCGTGCGGCGCGGATGACAAACGGAACACCAAACGGTCGTGAGCGAGGGAGGAAGGCGCGGTCCGGTCGTAAACATTGTCAAAAGGCCATAAACGGATGGGAATACATTTCGACGATTTACCCGGCAACGAGGATCTTTCACGGGATCTGCATTTTTTTTTTCAGTTTATTGTCTGCATTGTTTGGGCACCGATGGCCGTAGCGTTTGCAACCGCGCTTGTCATCAACGGTCGCGCAATGCAGGCCCAATGCAAGCAGAGCCCGACCCTCGTCGCTGCACTAATAACACATGCGGAGACGGCGACGGATGCCCAACTTCAAAGTAACGGGGGGATCGGTGCCTCGCCTCGATGTGTGCGTGTGAGGAAAGTCTCACTTTCCCGCCCCGTATTACTTTTCCGCGCTCCATTGGATCTCGCTGCGGGCGCGCTTCCCTTTCACCAGTCACACGGGAGCGCGGCAGTCGGTCAGAGGAGTTGAGATGGCGAGAGTAACGCGAGCCGGCTGCTGATTGACAGTCGAAGTGAGAGAGAGCGTTTGGGCCGAGGCGCGCCGCCCCCCTCACGCATGCCGGGAAGCTGCGGATGAATGCATCGCTTCTCGGAAAACAGGCGGCGATAATACATCTCGTTTTGTAGCGCCGGTGTGATCCGGCATATGATCCACTTTCACTTACTGAGTCCGAGAAGTCTTTTTGTTTTTTTGACTCTTTGATGCGGATTCCTTTTGGGTCCAAAATAAAGACTCAAGTCAAGTAGATATCTTAGTTTTTAATGCAGGGGGGACTTGGGGGGGGGGGGGAGTCAATTCGGGTTTCACAATAATTTTGTTTTCCGACCTGTGTGCATAAAACAACATCAGACTGGTGTTTTACTCCACCTAACTTTTTAATGCAAAGTCGCGTGTGTTGTTCCCCTGCCCAATGTGTCCGACGTGCTGGCCATGACACGCCGCATCTGAACTAATACGTGTGTGTGTGTGTGTGTGTGTGTGTGTGTGTGTGTGTGTGTGTGTGTGTGTGTGTGTGTAGTTGCATATTCCATGCGTGCCTTCATTTGGCCCCTTGGAAGTGAGACTGCGGCGGTCTTATTACGTAACGGTAAAAGATATCAATGCCTGTCAGGGGGTTAGCAAGTGCGTTGGCGGCTGCGCATTCGTGAGGCTCAAACGCATTGACACACCAGACAGATTGAGAGCTGATCGTTTGGCATGTGTGTGAGTGTTTGTGTGAGAGTCAGAGCAATGCAGCTGATAAATGACGATGATGATGATGATGTCATGTTTTCATTCGGGGTGCATGTGCAGTTAGCGGCCTTGCCGGAAGCCTTAGCAGTTGTATTGATTGATTTTGTTTTTGAAAGCCAGAGATCACGGGTAATAAAGCCAACATGAAATCTGCGCGCGTAACTTTTCGGCGTGTTTGTCGTCGTGGACGGGGATTTCGACCTGGTCCCAAAATGGTTCCCGAATCCTCCCAGTTGGAAAGCTAGCGGCGTATTCCCGTGTTTGTTTGCAGGTGAGTTCGTGGGTCACCTGGCTTGTGCTGACCGCCAGCTCCATGGAAGAGAAGCGAGACGTGTTCTCCTATCTGGTCCACGTGGCCAAGTGCTGTTGGAACATGGGCAACTACAACGGCGTCATGGAATTCCTGGCGGGACTCAGGTTGGGCGCCACACGCGCATACCGCGCTCACCGGGAGCGCAACTTCAAAAGTTGCACGGGAAAAATGTGGCGTGGGTGTGTGTGTGCGCGTGCGCGCGAAATCCGCGTAGGTCCCGCAAGGTGCTGAAGATGTGGCAGTTTATGCACCAGTCGGACATTGAGACCATGAGGAGCCTGAAGGATGCCATGGCGCAGCACGAGACCTCTTCGGAGTACAAAAAGCTCGTCACCAGAGCGCTGAATATCCCGGGATGCAAAGTGAGTAGACCACGTTGCGCTTTGCCGCTTGGGGAGGAGCGAGCGTTGGCCCGGGTTGTTCGCGCAACTTGTGCTCGCCTGTACTTGCAGTTGAAAGGATGAAAAGGAAACTGGAGGCAAACATTTCATGAGCAATGGCTTCTCTGTGCTCTTTTCCTCTTGCATTTCGGTGAGACCCGCCGATGTTTTCTCTGCAAACGTAGGTGGTCCCTTTCTGCGGGGTGTTCCTGAAGGAGCTGAGCGAGGCGTTGGACGGCGCCGCCAGCATCATCGGCCTTCAAAGGCCCGGCGAGAACGCCGACGACTCGCTGGAGGTACTCGACGACCGGCCGCGCTCATTCGGCATTTGGCTTCACTCCCGCCCTCCGCTTCTCGTCCAGTTTGTCTCCGACTACAGCGGCCAGCGCCACTTCTTGTCCCGCGCCGGCCCGGATGGTCTTCACGTCCCAGAGAAAGAAGCCACCGTCAGCAACATCCTGCAGATTATTAGGTTGGACGCAACCCATTTGGCTCTCGCGCGGTCGGCATCGTAAGCGGCTCGTCTCTCTCGCTTCCCAGGTCGTGCAATCGCAGTTTGGAGGCAGAGGATCCCGAGGAGGCCTCCGCTAGTCCCTCTTCTCCTTCTTCTTCTTCTTCTTCTTCGGGGCCAGCTCCAGCTTCGAGAAACAACTCCCTTCGGGACCGCTGCCGCTATCAGTCAGTATTTTGAGTCGCGTTTCAGAAGTTTTGGTTGGCCGACGGAGTCACCTACAGTAGCTGTCAAACTCTTGTGTTTTGTCCCCCCGCCCGCATGACTGTCAAATTGCCACAACCGATGGCAAAGTGGTGCACACCAGAGGAAGTTGCTTCATTCTTTACATTCTGCTTAATCGTGTTCCTCCTTGATCTTTAAAAAAAAAAAAAATCCATTTTGATCATAATTGTCGAAGCCTCACAGTGACTTTTTTGCCGGGTTCGTCTCCCCGGCCCGCGTCCACGTTTGCCAACTCTCTTTGTGGTCGGGCGGCTTCGGAGGCCAACAGTGAAGAACTGACAAAGGCGTTGTTGCACCGCCGAGATGGGCTTGCTTGACCGACTGCTCAACGGTTGCCGTCGTAACGGGCCGTGATTTTGTTTGAGTGACTCCAAGGTCCTCTCAAGACGGCAAATGTGATCATGATGACGATGACGATGGCTTTGGCAAAAGAAGTGCAGAGCAGAAGAAGTTGCGGCGTCCAAGTTTGTTTTCGCGTCAGGCCAGGAAGGAACGGAGTTCTGCTCCTTTTCACGGCACGCAGCTGATGACATTTTGGTCGGCGATTCCCTCACGTGGCCGGTGGCGTTTGCGCAAAGGAAACCTGCTTTATCTTCCCCGCTTCTGGATGCTTTTCTCTGACTCAGAGTTCTTGTTTATGTTAGCGCGCAGGATAAGCCGACTTGAGTTTGATTTCTTTTCCGGTGTTATCGAGAGTTCCTACTTCTTTTTTTTTGTACGCAGTCCCTCTTCTCTCACGTCTTATTTGTGCTGTTCGTGTGAAGAGTGACCTCAGTTGTCGCCGTGCGGTGAAAGTGTCTCGTTCGAAAAGGCACAATTGTTGAGGCTACCCTCTTTTTAATGAAGATTAATCTCGCAGCTTATTTTCGTGAGATGAGTTGACTTTGGCTGGTCTCGCACAGACGCCTCTCCATTCTCCCGTTGCGCGTTTTCAGGTTCATGGTGGGCGACCTGTCCGATTCCGAAGGCGACCTGTCATCCGAGCCCGCGGCTAACGAGATGGAGTTCCAGGGCGCGCGGGAGACGCACCGGGCTTTTTGCCATGGCACCGAGCTCATTCCTTGGTAAGAGACGAACGAGCTCCATTCAGAAAAAGAAAAAGGAAAAAAAAAACCCTCCTCAACATCTCCTCAAATCCAACACACGGACAGACACACAAGCGCTCAAAATATCAGCTTGACCCCCGGTCTAAGCACGCACGCGCATCGCCGAGACGCCACACTATTCCATTTTTTCGTCTTTTTTTTTTCCTTTCAGGTACGTGCTGTCCCTGCCACCAGACGTTCACCAGTTCCTGCTGCAAGGCGCCACCGTCATCCACTACGAGCAGGACAGCCACCTGTCGGCCCGCTGCCTGCTGAGACTCCAGCCCGACAACACCACGCTCACTTGGGGTGATTATCACGAACCGGGTGTCGCATTGGAATCACCTTCAAGGTCGGAATTAACGTTGGGGGGGGGGTCAATCCACGGCGGTTGTTTTCTCGAACATGTCAAATCATCTCAGTCCATATATTGAGCGCTTGTTGCGGCCGGTGTCCATTCCTTTTAGCAAACATGTTTTAAATGGATGGCAGGTAAGGCTCAGAATGGGGGGGTCCCCCCCACGGAGCCACCGCCGGGACTGGGACAGACTGTGGTGGCGGGGCTGGCAGAAGGTCTGCTGGACCTCGCAGCGGTCAAGGTTCGTCTCCAGTAAATGACTTGAAGAGTTGTTGTATTTTACTTTTTTTTGGGGGGGAGGGGCGGTGAAGATTCCTAATTGAGTGCGCTTCTGTGCTTCCAGGCTGTATTCCTGGGCCACCAGGGAGTGGACATCCACGCGGTTTGTTTGCAGAGCAAACTCAGCCAAATGACGGTGGAGGAGAACGGCCTCAGCCTCCTCTACGGCCTCGGTACCACCGACAACAGGTCCGGACTCCATTAGCTCTCGCGCTCTGCGTTCCGTTTGATTTTTGGACCTCGTGGGTTGACTTACCCGGGAAAGCGTGTGGCGACTCTCGGGACACCCTCTCCGGTACATCTAGTGATATCTCGACCCCGCGCCGCATCCAACAGACTACTGCACTTTGTGGCCCCCGACCACACCGCGCAAATGCTTTACAAGGGTCTGTCGGAGTTAGTGAATGCAAGCAGGAGGCTGAAGAAGTTTCCGGATCAGCGGCTGCAGTGGCTGAGGCGGCAGTATGTCGGTTTATATCAGGTACGCCTGGGATTTTATTTTGTCACGCGCCCGTGCAAAGAACCGCGTCGATATGTTTGCCGGCCTTCGCCTTTGTCGCTCCGTTTGCCAGGAGGAAGGTCGATACGAAGGACCCACGCTGGCCCAAGCCGTCGAGCTGTTTGGTGGGCGCAGGTGGAACACGGGTGCCGGTGGAGGAGAGAAATCGGGGGCCCCCAAAAGCAGCCCTCTGGGAATCAATGACAAGGCGAAGAAGAAGAAGAAGGCCCTCGTTCGGGTCAGTTCTCTTCTGCCGTTGAATGCTTATTGGCACGACGAGGAAGCTGCCGTAATTCCGATCGATTTCACGTCGCTCGCTCGCTTGTTTGTTCGACTGCAGGGAGACAGCGGGGATGCCACGGATGACGAGATGGTTTGCAGGAAAACGCGCAGCTGTAAAGAGGGACATTACCGCAACGGACCCGAGTCGGACGGCATCGACCAGGACGATGCAGGTGACCCGGACATCTTCAAGTCTTGGCGTTTTAAAATGAAGATTTGAAGCCATCCCAAGTCACGGTTAGCCTTGATCTTTGTCCCCCTGCGCAGACGATGGCTTCCCCGGACCGTTCTCCCTCACTTCCAAAGGAAGTCCCGGATCGCTTGCCTCTTCTTCCTCCTCCTGCTCCTGCTCCTCCTCCTGCTCCTGCTCCTGCTCCTCCACCACCTCCAGCATGTCCAGCTCCAACCAGTCCCGCCCGCAATCCTCTCCAGTCCTTTCGGGGAGCACCAAGGCTCAGCCGGGGTACCTTGACATGGAATTAGGCCCAAGCTCAGCCCGAGGTTCCATTGCTGTAGCGATTGTGTTTCTGGTGAACAGGGCGTGGAGTAGCAGGTCCTGGCACGGTCGCGGCAAAGGCTGCTTCAAAGGCTTCCAGAACCTCATCATCTCTGACAGCACCATGAGCTTCATCGAGTTTGTGGAACTTTTCAAGTCTTTCAGGTGGATGCTTTGGATTTTTACAGCTGCATCGCCGAGACCGCACGCACTGAAGGAGCTCGATCTTTTTTTTTTTTGTCCGGCTGCACACGTTGTTCTTAAGAGCAGGCGGCCATTTGAGGGGCTTCAATATGAGAGCGACTGATGAATGCGAATGTTTTCTGCCAGTATCCGCAGCAGAAAGGACCTGAAGGAGCTCTTCGACACGTTCGCCGTGCCTTGCAGTCGCTCCGCTGCGGAGTCGGCTCCCCTCTACACCAGCCTGAAGATTGACGACGGGGACGCGGGCCTCCAGCCGGACCTCGGTACTCTCAAGGAGCATTTTCCTCCGACGCGAAGGTCCACGCCGTCCGTTCTTAAGGCCTCCCCGCTCCTCCCGTAGACCTCCTGACTCGGAACGGCTCCGACCTCAACCTGTTCGTCCGGACCAGGCGGCAAATGTCGGACAACCAGAAGCAGATCTCGGACGCCATCGCCGCCGCCAGCATCGTGACCAACGGGACGGGCGTGGAGAGCGCCTCGCTGGGCGCGTTGGGCCTGGCCATCCCTCAGCTCAACGACTTCCTGGTCAACTGTCAGAGGGAGCACCGGAGCTACGACGACATTCTCGGCATGATACAGGTGAGGACCGCTCGCGTCCCGGAAGGCGTGATGTCGGGATTGGTTTGGATTTGCACCGGGCGAATGGGATGAGGAACGGCCCGCTATTGATCAGGAAGCGGAAGCGGTAGATGAATTGGATGCGGCCGAAAGAAACCTCAGAGCGAGCGAGCGAGCGAAGGAAGGTGGCCATCGATCACACTGACGAAGGCATTTGCGTTGCAGACTTTTGAGCCGTCGTCCACCATGAGGCTCATGGGCTGGATGTCATTTGAAGGTTTCGCAAGGTAGGCTCGCGGCAAACGGCGCGGCGGCCCCCGACCCGGAGGTCCGCCCTGCGACTTCAAGCTCCGGCCTCGCCTTCTCCTCCAGGTACCTGATGGACAAGGAGAACTTTGCCTGTCGGAACGACGAATCGCCGGTGAACCCCGAGGAGCTGCGCTACCCTCTGTCCCACTACTACATCGAGTCCTCTCACAACACCTACCTGACCGGACACCAGCTCAAAGGAGAGTCCTCTGTGGAGCTTTACAGCCAGGTCAGTTCCTCGCCGTGGAATGACTCGGCCCTTCTTGTTGTCCCGCTGACGCATTATGAAAAGCGTTGGTCGCGTTTTGAGAGGCTGGCGCGGGAGGACAACATTTCCATTCATTTCAACGGCACCGTGTGATTTGGATTTCGGAAGCAACTTTGTCGGCGTCTCCTTTGAAGGTGCTGCTGCAAGGCTGCAGGAGTGTGGAACTGGACTGCTGGGACGGCGATGACGGCATGCCGGTCATCTATCACGGACACACGCTCACCACCAAAATACCTTTCAAGGTAACGGACAAAATGGGATTCCAATTCCACGGAAGGAGCGTCGCGGCCGGGTAGCGCCATCTTCCTGAATAATTGAAGCCGGAGCACGTCTCTCTCCCGTGATTCCTCAGGATGTGGTGGAAGCCGTTCACCGCAGCGCCTTTGTCAACTCGGACATGCCGGTCATCCTTTCCATTGAGAACCACTGCTCCCTTCCGCAGCAACGCAAGATGGCCGACATCTTTAAGGTACGGCCATAAAAGAGAAGATCCCCCGCCCCCACCCACTAAAAAAAACCCGCAAATCCATCCAGTCATGCGGTGCAATTCCCCTGGAACCGAGAAGTCCGTCACTTTCTGGCTTTTCTCCACTCAGAGGCCTGCCTCGCTAATCCTCCTCTGTTTATTATTTTTTTTTTCAACTCAAGAGCGCACACACGCGAGATAGTGTATTGCTGGAATGCGCGCACGCTTTCATCTTGCTCAGCCCTCCCGGCGCTCCGTCTCCGCCGCCCCCACCCCGGGGAACCGGCGTGATGGACATCACCCTTTTCATGTTCGCGCGAGCGTTTCACACACACGCCTGCTTTGTGTACGCGTTTGTCCACTCTACCGTCGTGGGAAGAACTGTCTGGGATCCTAAAATGCAAACTTCTCCAAGTTCGTCGAATTCCAAATCAGAAAGCGTGGCGGCAGACTTGCGCAAATCATCTCCGTTCCCTTCCCGGCAAACGTCTTTTTGGCAACGTGTTTCCTCGCGGGGCTTACGGCTCCTTATTTCCTGCGTTGCAATTCCCAGTCGGTGTTCGGGGAGCGTCTGGTGACGCGCTTCCTCTTCGAGGGCGACTTCAGCGACGAGCCGCACCTGCCGTCGCCGCTGCAGCTTCGCGGGAGGATCCTGCTGAAAAACAAGAAGCTGAAAGCCCACCAGGCGCCGGTGGACCTTTTGAAGCAGAAGGTGATGCCTTCATTTCAAGGGCCGGCAGGCGCCCCCACCTCCTCCCTTCCTCGTGCTCGTTGGTGACTTTGCGTTTCTTCTTTCAGGCTCACCAGCTGGCCCACATGCAGGCCCAAGCCAGCAACGGGTCGCCCGGAAGCCACGGCAACGAGGAGGAGGAGGAGGATGAAGACGAGTACGACTACGACTACGAGTCCTTGTCGGATGGTGAGCGCGCCTTTTTGCCCTGCGGTCATGTGACCCCTTGACTCACTTGGTGTTCTTTGGCGTTTGACGCTCCTTTGGATCATTTTTGGAACGTGATTTATTGTTCTCAATTTTGTTGTTGTTCCTGTCCGTCCCATTTGCGTTGACCTCTTCTTCGCTTAGCCGATGTCCTCAATGCCTCTACTGCCTCCTATGGGCTGGAAGGTAATCCTCGATGTCCGCCACCGTTGCCTTGGCGTTCACTTTTGCCTTGCTCGCTGTGACGACATCCAACACTGCCGTCCATCCGTCTTGCTTCCGCTATTATTTATTGTCGCGTTTGAGGGGATTTGGGTAGATTAGTGTGATTGCTTCATGTATTCATTCATCAGTTTATTTTTTTTGAGGGGTTCAAAGTCATTTCAATGGGGGGGATCAAATTCAAAGTACACAGCAGATATTTCAATTCGGTTTTTGACTACGGGGAGAAAGAAAATGACTGTAGACCCTCCGGTACTGTCATTGACTTTACCTTTTTTTTTTTTGAGGGGGTGGGGGGGATGTGCATTGCAAAAATATGACTGCCTGCATTAATATGTATATAGGGCCGGATTGAACGGAATCGCATTTTGTACGTGCATCCTTATCGGCTCGCGTGTACATGACGTCATTGTGATTTATACCGTAGTTGTGTGTGCTGTGTGTGTTTGCCTGCCTCACTGCATTCACTTCCTCCACCCCGACCTCCAAAAGAGGGGGGGGGGAAAAAAAACTACGAATGACATGCAATTTATGACTCAATAGAGGTGAAAAGAAAAACGTTTCCTGTGCTTTCCAGTCCAAACTTTTTTTTTCTTTTCTTTTTCCAAGAGTTACATTGTCTGGATGCTTTCTTCTTTTTCCACAAACACATCCACCTCCCTTCTTGCTACCCTCTGTGCACCGTTTTTGTCTGTGACCTCGACTCATCGGGGAAACAAAACAAAACCATCTGGTTTCTCAGGCCCTCCGCTGCCCCCACGCTAAAGAGCGGACCGGGGGAAACTACCCGATCCCACTCTCAGCACTAACTCTCTCCTGATGCCACGCTCTCCCCCTCCCACCGTCCCTTCCCATCTTGTTTCCCAGTCGCCAAATCCTGTCGCTCACTTGATTTTTTTCATGAAACGTACACCTCGTAGCGTGGCCCTGTTCCATCGTGTGGGCTTGATGTTCGTCGCGTGGCATCATAGCAGGGTACAATGTCAGTTGAGTGTTAGCTCCTCCGACGAGGAGTGAGCAAGGGCCACTGGATAAAAGGGCTCTCTGGAGCAGATGAGGAAATCCCAGAAACGCGTGTTCGTTTTGATCGTTCCCATCCGTTACGACGTGTGAAGAATGGGTCTGGCTTGAATCCTTGGACCGAAACAGAAAGCCGTTATTTGAGTCCGTGTGATTTTGCTGCACTTGTGAGCTTTGCGCCATCCAGATCTTGCCCAGTTAGCGTCGTCAACATTGGCTATTGGCCGTTTACTAGGGAAAAAAAAAAAAGAATATGGCTTGTGTTCACAGATAACCTGCTGGAGGAAAAATCAGAAGGGAAGAGCTCGGCGGACAAAGAGGAGCAGCCTGCGGACGAAGTGCCCAAGCGTATGAAGAAGGCTGACGGCGGCACGCCCAGTAAAGGAAAGGTCAGCGCACTTCAGCGTCACTCGGCCAGGGGACGCACCCTGGTGCGGTTGTGCCCGTTTGAGGTCCGCAAATGAGAAGAGCTTCTCTTTGTTGTCGACGTCGCCGATGCGCGCGCACTGAGACCTAAAATCAACGGAATGAATCGGAAGCAACTTTGCACCGTTTCCCTCCAAACATGTCGATACAGTTGTTTCCTTGACATTGAAATAGTCCACTGCATGAGAAGGGAAGAGGAGGCAGTCCAAACGATCACGTTAGCTTTGGCGTTTTTCATGCCTTTTCAAGCATGTGAATTAAAACGACGACTTCAAATCGTAGAACTCTTCATCAACTTTTTGGGCGCCGTTGTCGAAAAACACGGTCAAATAAATGGTCCAAAAACACAATTTTGGTGAGCCTTGAAAGATCAGGCAGAATGCTCAGAAGGGTTATTTTATTTCTTTCTTTTTTGATGGCTAGCATTGAAAGAGTTCATCCCCCCCACCCCAAACCCCAACCTCGCCTTTGTATTGCTCCTGATAAGTCCGGCCCTGATCTTCCTGCCTGCGCCGACAGGTGTTTGACATGGAGCTGGGCGAGGAGTTCTACCTCCCTCAGAACAAGAAGGAGAGTCGGCAAATCGCACAGGAGCTGTCGGACCTCGTCATCTACTGCCAAGCCGTCAAATTCCCAGGTGAGCAGACTTTTCCCCTTTCTTCGATGCCGAGGCACACCGCTCCCCTCTCGCTCGCTCTCTCTTTTTTCCCCCCCCATTGAATAACTTCAACAATCAATATCCACGTGTCACACGGCACTCCTCTCCCGTAGTCCGCATCCACTAAGATGATGAATCCCTTTCCTCCCCCTTATGAGTTTGGACAGCGCGGTTGTTCAGCTTGAACTTCCTGCTGATGTGCTCATAAATTCAACAACTTGATTCCTCGCCATCGTTTATCTGCCCCGAAATGTCTCCTGCTTCTTCTTGCCTCTGTGCTCCCTCAACGGCTCTCTTCGTCGCCCTCATAAAGCGAGTCTCGTGTTTCCCGCCGCTG